ATAAATGATGTATAATGGGATAAATATTCTGAAAGTGGCATGCACAAGGTAATTCTGCTGAGGAGGGTTAGGCAATACCTTTGTAGAGAAAGCAATGATGGTTTAGTTGAATCTTGTTGGATAGGAGTTGGAATTGGCTAGCTAGGAAATTTTCTGACAGAAGAAACAACATGGGCTGAGACCCAAGGAATGGAAGCATCTACTGTGTATGAAGTCACCTTATAGGATACAGAATTATAAATAAAACATAATTCACTGTGGCATAGTAATGATTATTTTGGCCCTATAGGTGTTTTCTCCCAACAGCTGATAAAAATGAAAATTCTACCCTGAGAAGCATTGGTTAAGAGTGCTCTGGAGTTAGATTATATGCTTTGAATCACATCTTTATCACTAATTAGTTATATGACTTTGGACATAGTGGTTAACTTCTAATGATTTCCTATGTGTAATAAATATTATTGTTACTCTAATCTATTTCTGTTAGATAATTTGTGTGAGAATTGACTCTTGATTTACTAGTTATTTTATACACATATTAGTGACTGTGTGTATTTAGTTTTGTTGAAACTAACTTTCAGACTCTAGATAGCTAATTTTAGCCAACTAGAACACAGAAATACAAAGTTTCGGGGCACCTGGCTGGCTCAGTCAGTGGAGTGTGTGACTCTTGATATTGGGGTTGTGAGTTCAAGCCCCCACGTTGGGTGTAGAGATTACTTAAAAAATAAAACCTTAAAAAAATACAAAGTTAAGACTGGTGGAAAAATTATCTTGTCAAAGTATTTACATGTTTTTACTCCACTAAAAATTTAAGTGTTATTATATTTGAATTTTTTATAAAGTAAGTTTATCAATTTGGTATGCTCATTTATCAGATTTCCTCTTGTGGCATTCAGTGTTTTATAGAATGTAGCAAACATAAATTAGTAGCAGTGAACAATAGGGAGGACAGGCTCTTGGAAGCCAGAATCATAAGTAGTGGTCCTTTATAGTAGTGTGAGTGGGGATGGGCTTGTTAGCACTATCAACCAGTATGCTCTCTGATGCCATTTGGAGTAGGGTCCTGGATCCCAAAGCATCCCAAAGTGCTAATTGAGCCTTCCTGAGATATTTGCAGCATTTCAAAAAATCCGATGGAAATCCTATTTTTATCTGCAAGCTAACTCTGGAATGTCAAGTTTTATCAGTTTCTCTCAGGTTGTTCAGAAGTACTGATGGGCTTTTCAATCTGTTTTTGATTGTTAAATTGGGGGATGAATTCTTTTTTACTTATTAAATTTAGTTTTACATTGGATATATAGATTCTTTGGGGGGAAGAAATAGTAGAGAAGGGATGGAAAGCATTGGTGGACTCCCAGATAGCCTATGTCTCTTCTTCAAGGACCTCAAAAATATTAAGGCACAACAATGAGCTTGTTATTATTGATGAACTGAATTAATCAATGTAGGCTCTAATTACATTTAACATATACTTAGAGTGTCAAATGTGTTAGATATGTTTCATTCAAAATACTTTAACATCAAAAACTGTTGTAATGTATGGTGATTAACATAACATAAAATTTTAAAAAAAATATTTTAAAATGTTTGGCTGCTAAAGGAATAATCTAGAAAATTTACTTATGTTGAATCATCATTTAATAGTTTGTCAGGTAAATCATTTTTTAAATTGACTTGAATTTATAAAATATTTTAAATTTGGTTTAGTTATGAATTGTGAAGGTTTAACTTGTAATCTCTTCTAGTTTCATGTATCTATTATGTTTTCTTTTATTCTTAGGTTTTAAGGAAAGTTTTTAAATTTTAAATATTTAGTAAAGTTTCCAAAAAAATTAAAATAATGCTTTCTTGGATTTTTCTTTCTTAAAGCGTTATCTAAAAATGACATATTATATGATGGAGAAAACCATGACTGTGAGGAAAAGCCACAAGACATTGTACAGAGCATTGTAGAAGAAATGGTGAACATCGTTGTTGGAGGTAGTGTATTTCACTCAAAATTAGTTTTCTCTCTTTGATATTTCATCCCACTATGGAGGTTATTTATATAATGTTTTGGGGCAAAAATACAAGCTTTCTCAGCTTAGAGTGTGTGTATAGGAAAAAATATTTAAACATCTTTAGTTATAGAAGAGTTACTCCCTTTTTTCTCCAGGTTCAGTTATAATCTTTTATAAAAACCCATTATTCCCCTACCGCACTAAAAGAAAGTTGATGCCATTTCATGTTTTTGTTTTTGTGTTTGGTGGCAGAGATATATTCTTTATCCTCCTAAATGTTCTAAACTTTATAAACTAGAAAATAATTGAAATTGATTTGGTTTTGAGTATGCATATCGTTTTTTGAAAAATCATGCTTTCTTATACCTTTATTATCACAACCAATGTATAGTTGATATAGGGCCAGTTTCTATCTTATGGATTGTCTTATAAAGATGTCTTAAAGTTTGTTAGGAATTTAACTCACATTTTCCATAAATAATATTATTTATAGAGAGGATTAGATTTGAGACCAATCCACTGAAGTTTATTTAATTCGTGGTATCTTGCACAGGACTAAGCATAGTACCTTGTTACATATACTTCTAGATGTATGATTAAATGTACAGTTTGGCTCTTGAATGAGAATAATACTGTTCCAGCAATACCTAACTCCCACTTACAACATCATTTCTAAGAATATATTTTCTCCTTTAATGCAACACTAGAACCAGGCATTCATCTGATTGCCTTCTCGTTTTCTCATCTTTTCATTCAGCAAATACTAAGGAAGTGCGTACAGTTGTGTGGCACTGTAGGAGGATACAAAAGTTAATCCAAGATAGACCATGCTCTGGAAGAAGGGGGTTCTGGAAAGTATGTATGTAAGACTAATAACAAGGTATAAAGTGATAAGTGCCATTACAAAGAAACAGCTAACATCCTATTAAAATTCAGGAAAAAAGTGATTATTTCCAGCTAAAATGATCCAAAAGGGCTTCATGTAGGAGATGACACTTGAACTTAGACTATATGGATTCACACAGGTATGGGGAGTGGTATTTGATGTATTGGAAGCTCTATTGGCTCAAGTATAGAGGAGAGGACTTCAGCCAAACTAACCACCTGGGAATTGGCAGGTGGTGGTTTGGCTGAAGTATAAAGTAAAGTATGTGATATCATATAATAGAAACTACGGCTAAAGAAATCTTGAGCAAACTTACTAATTAAAGGTTTAAGATTTTAGACTTCATTCCATCGTAAAATGAGTTACCATTAAGGATCTTTAAACTAAGAGATAGAATGATTAGAATTATGTTTTAAGAAACTAAGTGGGAAAGTAGAAAGTTCAGTAGGAGACCAGTGCAGTAATGGAATCCTCAATAGGACAGAAACAGTGGAAATGGAGAGGGAAACGTGAATGAGAAGTGAGATAATGAATGTTAAATCAAGAAGACTTTGCAACTGATTAAATACCTAGGTGGGAAAGAGAAATTACAAGGTTTGTTGAAGATCCCCAAAAATACCCCAGGGTTTTGTGATTCACTAGAAGGACTGACAGGATTCATCATATAGTTAACGCTCACCACTAAAATTTTTACCATGTAAAGGTACAGTACAAAATCATCAAAGAGAAAAGGCATATGAGGCAACATCTGGAGGAAATCAGGTGCACACTTCAGGAATCCTATCTTAGTGAAGTCACACAGGAGGTTCTTAATTCCTCCACATCAGATTGTGAGTATTGTGAGTATACTACCAGGGCAGCTCATTAGCCTCAGTACCCAAAGTTATGTCTGCTCCCTTTACTTACATGTACCCTAATTTCAGATTTCCAGAAGGAAAGCTGGTTTTCAGCATAAACCACATTATTTGTGCAAATGGCTTAGGCACAGTGAGGCACTCTTACTAGTTCTGGGAATAGTGGGAACCCTCCCAAAATGTAAGTTCCTGGGTGCCAGCCAAAGGCCAGCCTTGAAAGCAGGCCTTTCTAAGGATAGGCAGTCTCAGGCCTGCTGTGTTAACTCCTCTCTGCATGGGTGGTCTGCCAGTTTCTCAGCCTAAATGGGTAGGTGGATGCTTTAGAACTGGTAGAATTAAATCATGTTGGAGAAGTTGGCTTGGGGAAAAAAGTACTAATTTTTATTTTGACATACTAAATTTGACCTTTTAGTGTACCATCCATGTGGGAATTTTATGAACTACATAATAGAAATATAGAAGTCTGCCCTAAGATATCAAGGCAGGTGCTATAGATGGGAGTCATTCTGTTAAAATTAATAGTTGAAGCCATAAAATCATTGAATGAGAAAGTATAGAGACTAAAGAAGAGGCCATGATCTTGGGGAGTATGAATTTAAAAACAAACCAAAACCCTGTAAACTTACAATCAGGGAAGAAAGAGCATTATGTGTCCATGCATTTTTTAAAAGTTTAATAATATATAAGAAGGGATGGCAGATTATAGTCCATGAACCAAATTTGGCCCGTTGCCTATTTTTGTAAATAATGTTTTCTTGGAACACATGCTCGTTTATGTTTTGCCTATAGTGGCTGTCTTTGCACTACAAAAGTAGAGTTGAGTAGTTGGAACAGACCATATGGTCTGCAAAGCCTAAAATGTTTACTAACCGGCCCTTTTGCAAAAAAAAAACTTTACCAGTCTCGAATACATACCAATTCAGAGTGTGAAGTGAAATTTCTCTCATTTTTCTGCAACTTTTTACTCAGAGCATTTTCATACCTAGAGAAAAGTCCAAAGAATAGTACAATGAAAACCTGTATGCCCTTTCTCTAGATTCACTAGTTGTTAAGAATTTTGGTACATATGTTTTATGTATCTTTAAATGGATGTACACACACACACACGTATGTAAATATGTGAGTTTTGTTCATCTTTGCTGAGCCTTTTAAAAATTGGTTATATATATCTTGATACTTTACTCCTAAATACTTCAGCATATATCTTCTAAGAATAAGGGCATTCTCATACATAACCATCATTCATTTTCACACCTAAGAAAATTAACACTATTTCAAGAATATCTAATATAATACTACATTTTAAAATGTTCCCAAATTCTCAAAATGTCTCTTTTATATGCTTTTTTTTTTCCTTTTTGAAGTATGGGATCTCAGTACACTTGCTGCATTTGATTCTGCCTCTTTGGTCTTGTTAGTCTAGAACAAGTCCTCTTGCCTCTTCCCCCATCTTTCATAACATTTACCTTTTTTTAAAAAGTATGATATTGTCCTGTAGAATGTTACACATTTTGAGTTGATATGACAGTTTCCTGATTTAGATTAAATGTATTTGGCAAGAATACTGCATAGTTAATGTTGGTGCTTCTTATTACATCATGTTATGTTAACTGGTGCATAACAAGTTACCCCTGTTAGTGATAATGTTTGATCACTTGGTTAAGAGGATGACCACCAGGTCTCTTCATTGTAAGGGAGCATTTTTTCCTTTATATCTATAGTTGACCCTTCAACGAGTGACATGGATTGAAACTACATGGATCCACTATATGTGGATTTTTTCCCCCCATAAATACAGTCCTGCGAATGTATTTTCTCTTTTTTAATAATTTTCTTAGGATTTTTTTCTTAGTTTACTTGACTGTAAAAATACAGTATATAATACATGTAACATACAAAATATGTGTTAAACGACTGTTTATGTAAGGCTTCTGGGCAGCAGGTAGTCAAGTTTTGGGGGAGTCGGAAGTTACACGGCTTTTCAACTACATGAGGGGTTGGCACCCCCTACCCCATGTTTTTCAAGGGTCAACTGAAATATGAAATGAGTAATCTGAAAGTGATACTTCGAGATCATAGAAGGATCCATCCACTTAGTGGTTTTAGCATCCATTGATGATCCTTGCCAAGTTCACTTGGCAAAAAGATCATTTATACAAGGATAGGAAAAATCTCTGGCCATCTTTACAATCTACCAGGAACCATGTAGGCTTTATAAAGTTTTATGATTGTCTTATTTTTTCTTCCTTTATTGTATTACTTTCACCTTGAAAAGCATATGCCAGTTTGCCTTGGAGCCAATTATTAGTTATAAATTACAAGAAGGGACAGTCTTTTTGTTTGCTTTTATTACTACTAATTGAATACATTAACCTCCTCTCAGATTCCCTTTGTTCTTTCTACTTAGCCTTTTTCTAAAAACATTTTCTTATTTAAATTTAACATATATTACTGGTTTCAGAGGTACAGGCCTGTGATTCATCAGTCTTATATAACACCCAATGCTCATTACATCATGTGCCCTCCTTAATGTCCATCACCCAGTTAACCCTGTCCCTCCACCCCTCGCCCCTCCAGCAACCTTCAGTTTGCTTCCTGTGATTAAGAGTCTCTTATGGTTTGTCTCCCTCTCTGGTTTCGTCTTGTTCTATTTTTTTCTCTCTTTCCTATGATCCTCTGTTTTGTTCTTAAATTCCACATATCAGTGAGATCATATGATAATTGTCTTTCTCTGATTGACTTATTTTGCATAGCATAATACCCTCTAGTTCCATCCATGTCGTTGCAAATGGCAAGATTTCATTTTTTTGATGGCTAAGTAATATTCCAGTGTGTGTGTGTGTGTGTGTGTGTGTGTGTGTGTGTGTGTGTGTGTGTACACACCACATCTTCTCTATCCATGCATCTGTCAATGGACATCTGGGCTCTTTCCATAGTTTGGCTATTGTGGACATTGCGACTATAAACATTGGGGTGCAGGTCCCCCTTTGGATCACTACATTTCTGTCTTTGGGGTAAATACCCAGTAGTGCAGTTGCTGGGTCGTAGGGTAGCTCTATTTTCAACTTTTTGAGGAACCTCCATACTGTTTTCCAGAGTGGCTGCACCAGCTTGCATTCCCACCAACAGTGTAGGAGGGTTCCCCTTTCTCCGCATCCCCGCCAACATCTGTCATCTCCTGACTTGTTCATTTTAGCCATTCTGACTGGTGTGAGGTGGTATCTTATTGAGGTTTTGATTTGGATTTCCCTAATGCCAAGTGATGTTGAGCATTTTTTCATGTGTCTGTTGGCCATTTGGATGTCTTCTTTGGAGAAATGTCTGTTCGTGTCTTATGCCCATTTCTTGATGGGATTATTTGTTCTTTGGGTGTTGAGTTTGGTAAGTGCTTTTTAGATCTTGGATACTAGCCCTTTATCTAATACATGATTTTTTTTCCCTTAGTTTTTAAAAGTCCTTTTTATATTAGGGTTCTGTGACATATTTTACAAATATTTTCTCTCAGTTTATTATTTGCCCAAGTCTTTTAATTTTGATATGGTGTATTTTTGCTCTGCAAAATTTTTTTTTAAAAAATTCTGTTCATGAATGCCTGTATACATATTTTAAAATCTAAATGGGAACCTACTACACTTACTGTTTTATAATCTGCTCTTTCACATTCTGTAGTTCCCATTTTATGTCAGTTTCTAATTCATTACATAGATGGTCCATAATTTATTTAAATAATCTCCTATTGCTAACATTTAGATTATTTCTAAGTTTTTGCTTTTTTATAAACACTGCTCTGAGGAGCATTCTTGTTATTGATATCTTTTAACACTTTAGAATAAATTTATAAAAAAGGAATACTTTAAAAAAATACTTTGATCAAGGCATATGGGCATTTAAATTTATATAATCTTTGTTTAATATCACTTTACTAGATAGATTATATCTTACTGTTGTAATTTGTGTTTCTTTGATGACTTGCAGGGAGTAGTCATTATTTTTGTAGGTAAATATTGGCAGTTTCTTGGTTATACTTTTCTGAATTGCCTATTCATGACTTGCCTGTTTTTCCTTTTTTGGGTTTTTTTGTTCTTCTTTTATGGTTTATTCACATCAAGAAATTAGCCCTTATTCAGTGTATTGTAAATATTTTTTTCTAGTCTTTGTTTTGCTTTCATTTTGTTTAGCCTTTGCGTATGTTATTGTTCTGAGCAGATATTTGACCACACGTAGAAAATGTAATAAATATTGTCCTTTTTTTCATGAAATCTGTTTTTGCCTTGCTTAGAATGGATTTTACCACCCTAAAATTACAGAAATATTCTGCCGTACACTTTTCTGATACTTCTTATTTTTTGAATTTAGATCTTTAATTCATCTGAAATGGTTATATTGAATCCTCCTTTCCCAATTAATTTGAAATGCCAGTTTTATCCTATGTGATTCTGCTTGAGTTTTCTGTACAGTAACATTGAGCCATTTATTGTATCCATTGTTGAATTGTTTAAAATATTTTAATTTTATAGTACACTTTGATCTTTGTAGTGCAAGTCCCCCCACCTCTGCCAATTCTTTTAAACGTCTATTAAATGTATTCTTCTACATGACTTTAGAACCAGTTTATTAAGTTAAAAAAAAAAGTTTATTTAGTGATTAGAATTGTATTGTGTTTATAAGTTAACTTGGGGAGATATATCTTATTTGAAGTATTGAACTTTCTTATCCAGAAGTATAAATTCATTCAGTCAGATCTTTTATGTCACTTAGTAAAATTTCATTGTTTTCTTCCTTTTGCTCTTGCACATTCCTGTTTAATTATTTCTGTTTTTTGTTTTAGTTTCGATAGTATTTTGGATGACTTTTTTTCTCACTTCCTAACTTACTTTTTTTTAACAGTTTTTATTTAATGTTGTATATAAAATTACTTTATTCCTGCATCTTCTCAATTGTTTCTGCCTTATATTCGCCCTTTTTCCTTTCCTACTTGGTGAGATTTGGCTTTACGTTCAAGGATCTTTTTGCTGTCTCTGTCCAGTGTTAGTCTAGTGCTGACCACGTTGCTAGGGTGAATGCCCACATGGACAGTTGTACCATGAGCCTTGTCTCGTGGTACTCATTCAGTGTAGATGATGTATTTCTTCCTGTAAACCTGGACTACTTTGTCAATTTGCTGACCTTTGTGGTATCCTCGCACAAATTGTACTTCATCATCCTTTTGAATGGGCATGGATTGAATGTTGTACTTCTGTCTCAGCTTTTTGGAAAGGAGGGAAGACATCATCTTCCTGTGAATGTGGGAAGGTGCACTGAAATGCCTTTTACTGTTCTCGCACCAGTCAGAAGTCACAAAGGGATTGAACTTCATTTTGGTTGCTGGCACTTCAGCAAAGGCCACGAAAAGCTCCCACTTCCTAATTTAATTGGAATATAGAAAAACTGTCATTTTTCCCTATTTATCTTATACTTATTCACCTTCTAAACTCATATTGTTTCTAAAACTTTATTTCGTTATCTTGGGTTTTTCTAGGTGAATAATGTATTTTGTCTGTTCTTTTACAGTATTTATTCCTCATTTTTGTTCTTTTGTTTCTGTTATAGAACATTTGTTTGAACCTCTAGAAAATATTGAATAGTGTTAATGATGGCAAGGAACCTCACTTTGTTTTTAACATTACTGTTTTATTTCACCAGTAAGTTTGATAATTGCTGTTGTTTTTTTGGAGGATACTCTGTCAAATTAAGTATATGAGTGTGTGTGTGTGTGTGTGCCTGGATGTGATTTTACTTTTGTTTTTTAAGTCAGGATTGACTTGAATTTTTTCATACCAGTGAAAAATACTAGATCAACAATTATGAAAACTTACTGGTAAATATAGCAGTAATGTTAAAAACATTACATTTATCTCTTGTTTATATTTTCCCTAGTAATTTCAATGGGATTCATCAAAGGAGAAGTTAATTTTTAGTGGACTCAATTTACCACCTTGAAAACAGAAGTCTCCACTTATATTTAGGAGACAATTAGAGAGGGAGAATTAGAGGAGAAGACATAGAGAATAATAACTCTATTAAGTACTTTTTGTGTATCCCAAATGATTTTATGTGCTTTACTTCAATTTATTCACTTAATCCTCCCCAAACACTGGGATATTTAGGTGCTGTTACTATTTCCTTTTTTACAATGAGAAAATTGAGAAATTTTAAGTTAACTTGTAGGAAGCAGTAAAGTGAAGAATGTTTTCAGTTCTCTTGAGAAATTTCCTAGGAAGGGAGGAAGG